ATACTGTTACACTCAGGGCATTAGGAACCAAATGTGAAGGAGGGTCAACATATCTGTTAATACACAGTTACAACAAGCCAAGATTTCCAGTTAATTATAATCTAGGTAATGCTGTGCCCTGTGGTCCAGACCCAGTGAGGGGCACACAGGCCAAACTACCACAGATTATAAACAGAGTTCATCCAGACCAGGCCCTTCACTCAGGAAAATCTCATTAATTAATAAGAAAAGAGTTGTCCTGTGTAGGGCAATGAAATTGTTCCATGTTTCCCTCAGAAATGTGTTGTTGATAAACCAAAGGCCTGTGCAGATGTTAAATGGACTGTACTGAGCCATCAGATACCTGAGAAGATGCAGGGAATTGCCTTTTGTCTGACATCTCCATCCCAGTAGATGGTACAGGGCTGTTCAGAGTCAGAATGGGTTTTTGAGACACCTCTTGGACAGAGTAAGAAATTTAGACAGAAGAGAGGGCAGAAAAAAAGTCTTTAGGTTTCTTGTTGGGAAAGAAACAATCAATACTCTAGTTCTGTTTACCTTCCAATATTTCCAAAAGGAAAAAAAAAAAGATTTTTGGAGAATTTATGATTTTAATTTCTTTTTATACTTTACATCAGTAAAGCACAGGATGTCTCAAGGATGAATGAGACCCTTGTTTCCTTCTCATACTTGATTCTTTCCTCAGGAAAGGTCCAAGAAGAGATAGATCAAGTGATAGGGTCAAACCCCCCGCGGATCGAGCACCGAACTCAGATGCCATACACAGATGCTGTCATCCATGAAATCCAGAGGTTTGCCAACATCCTGCCACTGGATCTGCCTCATGAGACTGCTGCAGATGTCACCCTCAAAGGCTATTTCATTCCCAAGGTGAGATGCCTACAGGGTTGCTTTTTAACATTTCTTCTTCCTGATTTTGTCCAGGGATTAATTCCACTGTCCCCCTTTGCAGGGAACCTACATCGTCCCCTTGCTGACCTCAGTCCTGTACGACAAGTCGCAGTGGGAGAAACCAGACATGTTCTACCCTGAGCACTTTCTCGATGCCAATGGGAAATTTGTGAAGAAAGATGCTTTCATGCCTTTTTCAGCAGGTGCTTTCTCTTTTCTATTTACTACTTTTTTTTTTTTTTTTTCTATTAACTACTTTTTACAAGGGCTACTTGTACTTTTTGCTACTGTAGCCTGGTCTCCACATTATCTTTTCAACGGGGCCATTTCCCACCCCATGTTTCACAGATTTCTCAGGGGGCACCTCTGATAAGAGCAAGTACTCCCAAATGGCTGCTAATTCTGAGCAAATATAAATGAGTATTTGTGGTGATTTTTTAAATATGAGGAAAGTTTTCAGGAAATTTGAGGATGGTTTAGGTAACATATTTCTGCATTATAATCTGTGGCCCAAAACTTCTCTGTGTCCTGGGTTTGAGCCTGACCACACCCAGTTGCACTGTCTATGACCACACAAACCACACAGCAAAGGTGGCTTCTGTGTCTTTCCTGTTTCATTTTTCCATGTCCCTCTTAAAAAGGTCATGAATAATGTCAGCTGGGTCAAGATTTCATATACTGTGACAACAAGGAGGAACTGTCATATAAAAGCACAAATTCTGTGTAAAATCAAAGAACAGAAAGGGGTTGAATTTTGAGGGGTTTTTGAGGCTTCCCTGGAGCGTGATGTACACCTGAGTTTAAAAAGCAGTTTAAAAGCTGCTGCAGTTCAATAAGACTGAGAAAAATTTACATTTATGGCACTTCTGAATATCCATGGAATATGTCCCCCAACTTCCCTCTCAGTCCCACTCTGGCCAGCATTTGTGAGTTTCCAAGGAATTTTCTGACAAATTTTAATATAAAAAAAGTTGCCTATATCTAGACCGATAGAGCCAAAGTCTAGACTCAACCAGTTGGTCCAGGATTCAAAAACTGAGCCAACTAGACAAAAAAAATCTGAAAATGAAGAAAAAAATCTGATTTTATTGTAAATTAAAATTAAGGAATTCAGATTGCATTTCCATACATTTCTCCCAAAAATGAAAGTATTTAGACAAAGGAAAACTAAAAAAAAACACCACCAGTTGGCTTTGTTATCATACCTCTGAAGACCAAGTTCCTCTCTCTCTGACGACCTCTGTGCTCAACAGACTTTTAAAAGCTGCTGAGCTCTTCATTTATAGCTGGGATAGCACACTTCAGGTGTTCTGGACTCCCACTGACCTTTCTCCAAATAAGAGATGCTTAAGGTTTTTTTTTTTTCTTCCAGCTGTTGAAGAAGCAGCTCCCACTGACTCTCTTATTTTGTTCCAGGTCGGAGGATTTGTGCTGGGGAGACTCTGGCCAAAATGGAACTCTTTCTCTTCTTCACCAGCCTCCTGCAGAGGTTCAACTTCCAGCCTCCACCTGGAGTTTCCACCTCAGACCTGGACCTCAGCCCCGCTATTTCATTTAATGTCATCCCCAAACCCTATGAAATGTGTGCTGTGACACGTTCCTAGAGCTCTAAGCAACATTTGTTTCCAAAATGTTCAAATTACTTTTCTGTGTTATCTGCCTTCTTAATCCTTTGCCCCCCAAAAAATTCACAACTTAGTGAAGGTTTTCAGTACTCCTAAACCAAAGTGGTGGTCTTTTACTGTTTATTTATTGGGGAAGGGCAGAAATGCACCAGAAATACAAACTAATGTCTGGTTGATGGATTAACCTGTTAGATCACCTAATCTGGGCTAACTAATACAGACCCTCAGCTTTCTTATTCTTATTTCAGTTTTCACTTGGTAATGAGTGTTTGTTGAAAGCATATCCCAAAAAACACTCCCAAGTGCAGGTTTCTCCAAAGAGACATATGGATCATGAAGCTGTGCCTGGCTGGTACTACTGTAGTTAAAGGTAAGCACTGCAGAGCCTCTGTGGCAAATGTGGGATGTTCAGAGCTTCATGTCTTTAAAACAGAAGGGCTTGTTCAGTCAGATGGGTTTGCAGCTTCTTCCTTTGGCTCTTCCCCCTACTCCTTCCACTACCACGTGCAAATAAATCAGAGTTCTGAACTTGTTAAAGCAGATCACTTCCCAGGAAAAACCTTAAGCCAAGTTGACCCGAGTCCAGAGGGTCTTGAAGATTTTTCCTGAGTCTCCTGTAAATGGATAAGCTCAGTAAAATAAAGTGCACACCTGTGGAAAATGGCTGGTGCTTTCAAAATGAGCCGTCTTAGGGGCTGTTAAACATTGCATAAACACTGTGTGCAAATTCCAGCTGACAGAGGGCTCCCACCTCCTGGCAACTGTAAATGGAAGTTAAAATTGACTGAAAGCCAAAGTAGCCTTAGGCTGATTCTGCTTCAAGCCTGTGCAACTGCTCTGCCCCTGAGGGCAGCGTGGGAGTCGGGTGGTGCTCTTGGTTCAGGTCCAGCATCCTCAGGTGCCACCCAGACACATCAGGGCTCATTGCCCAAGTGCTGGGGGCATGAACATCAATGTTTACTGAGTGATCACTATGGGGTATGTAGGGGATCCTTCCCTCACCCACCATGGCAAGGTCACCTCTTTCCTGACTCTTCTATTGACTGCGAAAAATGGAAAGTTTCTGGGATAGACCAAAGCCTTTACACATCAGTGGAAACCTGCCCATTACAGATCAGAAGTGACCCTCCTAGACATTACTGTGTAAACCTTGTTTTCCTTCCTACTGTCCCACCATACAGTCAATGAGTATTTCTGGAGGCACTCTGTCTAAACCTCAACCCAGGTGTAGAATGATAGGTATGAAACAAAACTCCACCTAAAAGGAGGAAAACTTCAAGTATTACATAACTCATTCTCTTTATTGTAGATGCCCTTTTATCATATCACCACAGAACTCCTGATTTGTCTAAAGAATACTTTTGACAATAATTCTTATTTTTGGGGATTAACATACAAAGCATGCAAATAAGCAGTTACGGACAGGTGCAAGATCATGGATGATTCCGTCAGAATCCACTGCAAGGACATCAAAATGTCTCTGCTGGGGCCAGAGCAGAGTACTGCTCCAGTACTGAGTCAGCAGACCCCAAAAAATCAAAAAGTTGACAGCCTTGTCTGAACTGGCCCTGCTCTTTCCTCCAGAACCTCTATTTGCTGAGGCAGCCTGAAATGCTGCCTTTCATGTGGCAGGGCCCTGTGTAGCATGATCACCTCAGGCTCTTCACTGAGGCATCTCTGTTTATCAGATGGTTAATTTCTGTCTCTAAACCAATCAGCCACTGGATTTAGTTACCTGGAAATTATTCTCCTTCTCATTAAATGTAGGATCTCCACAGCTTCTGTAAAAATGGTCTAATTAGGCTGAATAAGAATCTACAGGTAGACACCTGGCCCTATTGAAGGCAATAGCGGAATTAACAAATCCAATTACCTGGATTTGAAAAACACAATGATATTGATAAATTCAGTTTTCCTATTTCCTATAAGATTGGTCTTGAGCATAAAGGAGACTTAAATAAGCATAAACAGACTTGTTGCTGTATCAGACATTAAGAGACTTCTTTATAAAGCTTTTTTTTTTTAGTTCAGACAGCTCCTTGCACATTTCTCTGCTTAATTTCACAAAGTAATCTCTTTAGGCCACATTAGGAAAAGGAGAGGCTTGAGGACTTATTCCAAGACAGACAAATGGGGTTAGAGATGTCCAAGGATTCTGCTGTAGATATCCTAGAAAATGGTTATACAGAAGAAATAATTCTTCGGTCAGAAGCAGCACAATTTCAACTGAATTACAGCAAAACTTTTACACTTAAAACCATTGCTAAGTGATTTGGATTTGCCATGAGCAGTTTTCCCTGAGCACAGAAGTGATGAGCACTTACTACCTTCAATTCTAGGATTACACAGGAAACTCTCCTATAATTTTCTGATCTCCCCTAAGTTATTAAATTCCAAGGTTCTCCTGCAGTGCAAAAAAAGCTGATCTGAATGTAGGTTTGTGAGGTTTGGCTACAGGTGAGATTTGTAAACTGAAAAGGTGTATGAACCACTCTGAAAAATGAGCGGGGAAGGAACTGGGCACTCGTGCTTTTCAGCAATGCTATTGATGGGATATTTGTCTCCAGCACATTACCCTGAGCTGGAAAGCCACACCTGTGCAATGTCTTAGCTAGAGTAGTAGCCACAAGCCTGCTGGACCCTTCCCTCGATGCTCTGGCAGGATGTAATTATGAATCACGGTGGCAAACTGGTCTGTCAGGCTCCAGGAGAGGGGATTCCCATGTTCATCCAAGACACAGGCACTGGGGAAACAGCAAATGAGGTCAGCAAGATAGTTCTGGCACCTTGGATTGCCTCCCTGTGACTCGGTTTTGCTGAGCTGGCCAGCAGGGGGGACATCCAGGTGAGCCAAAGTCAATTTGGGGTCCACCCTAAGGGACAGCACAGAAGGAGTGGGAGGCACAAAGCTGTGCCCCTCATTCTCCAAGCACCTGCACCACATTTAAAGCTGCCTTCTGCAGCCAAATGGATTGCCAGGTCTGTATCAGAAAGGGGAATCAAAATGAGCTGAGTTCATTAGGCTGGAGATTTAAGAATAATTGTAGAGGGCAGCACCTCTCCAGTTTTGGGATTTATGATCTGTAAGCTCCTGAATCCACTCAACACACTCCAGTAGTGCCTTATTCCTTACAGAAAGACTGGAGAATATGTTAAGGCAGGCAAGGAGCCTTAGTGAGTGACATTAGATGGCACAAAGGAGTGGAAAGGATTTCATTTCCAGTCTCTCATCCTCCAAGACTGATAGATTCTTTCTGGATTTCAAAAACACTGCAGAGAAATTTTTTTATAGGAAAAGTGAGGCCTCTGGTTCCCCTACTCTTCTGCTCTGATGTCAGACCAATATTTCACCAACAGAGGGATTTTAGAAAACTCAGATTCAAGGAGCTGTGTAAAGCTCCCTCCGTGAAAAATAAATTTTGTAGAAAACCCAGATCCACCTATCAAATCTAAGAAACTTTGACACATGAAAACCAAAGGACACACAGAGCAGATCTGTGGATACCATATATACATGAGGGAGAGAGAATGGGGAATATTCTGAAATGTAAAAATCAAGAGTGATTGACTAATTAAAGAAAAATCTTGTTAAGTATTTAATAGTTCCTTCCTTACCAAGTAATTCCTCAGTCAGGTTTTTGAGCCAGTCACAGAGAAAGCCTAAGAGTCTTCCTGGTATTTTGGATGTAAATGTACTTTTAGGAAATACATCACTACAGTACTGACTTCAGTAAGTGACACAGAGTGCTCAGACATACTGAAGTTTGACATCTGGCAGCAAGTCCGGGTCTGGATGGATAACTATCTGGAAAGAGGATGTTTTCACATCTACCAGCTTGGATAAAGCCACAGTTCTGAATATTTCACATATTCCATCCTGGAGCCCTGTGTATACAAAGATAAATATTAAGGCACTTCACAAATAAAGTGTGGGGTTTTTAAAAATCCTTTTTTTTAGGTCTTGTCTGAGTTCAGCTTTCAAACACTGCTCACACTAAACCTCTAATGACATATTAATTACTGCTCAGCTCAGCCTGCATGCTGTTTACAGAATCCTATAGCCAGTAGCAAAATTAAACATCAATTAACATGCCTTCCTGACAAGGAAATAACTTCATCTATGTGAAAGCAGAACTTAAAATGGTAGCAGTGAATATGACACAGAGGAAATTCAAAAAGCTAAAAAAATTCCATATCCTAGATATTGATTTTTGCTTAAATAAAAAAAAAAAACAACAAAACAAAAAACAAACAAACAAAAAACCAACAACAAAAAAAAAACCTTTCTGCAGAGCAGAATGGCAAAGTTTACAGTCAACGAAGACTATCTATTCTGCTTAGTCTGAACCAAGTAAAACTGGACTGTACCTTGAATCTGAAAAATTTGTCCCCAGTTGATAGTGTTTGGGTTTTCCAGTAGCTCCCAGTAAGTTTCCAGCTCCTTGTAGAAAACTGAATAAGCATTGGTGTAATGATCAAGATCATCCATCTCATTCTGGGGAAAAAAAAATATGGAAGAATTACAAATTCTGCCCCTTCCCACACACGTTGGAATCTAAACTCCCTAAGAGCCAACTCCAGAGACCTTAAAAAATGTTTTGAGCTTCAGGTTGGCTTCTTTCAGGACATTTTCACCAGCAACTCTCAAGCAAAAGAGTAGAAATATCTATTTTTCTCCACAGCATCAAATTAGCAGAAGGCTGCAATGGTAGAAGGCCTAATGTACCCAATGCACAATAACCCAAATCTGGTGGCAGCTTCTTGAAACACTTACCTAATTCATTGTTCAAAGCCCACCTCTGCTACTGCTGTCCCAGAAACCATGGTGTGTTATTTGGTTGCCAAGGTCAAAGTCTTCAGACCACACCCCTTCTGGCAAACAAAATATGTTCTCTGCCCCTGAAATAGCTGAAATAGCACAGCCTGGCCTCATCAATACTATTACACCCTCTAAGTCCCCAGGACAGGCTGGAAACACTCAGACTGCCACCTTGGGATTGTCCTTCATTGATGGTTGTCCCAGAGACCTCGACAAGGATTTAGTTGTACCCCATATGAGCCTACAAGAAGAAGGGATTATTATCTGAGCCTGGAATTGGGGAAGCACCCACAAATTCATGCAGCTCAGAGATTGCTTTATCACAGTGGACAGAGGGAGTTAGGGCAATGCCCCCTCTGAAACCCTCTGTAGCACAGCCTGTTATGGACTAAAGGACTGCAGAAGGACCCTTCTTTCACCTTGTAGCTGCATCTACCCCACCATAAGGTCACTAAGGTTCTTTTTTTGTGTGTCTGTCTGTACAAAGGCTGGAAAGACCAAAGAACCCTTGAGAAGTTTGTTCAAGTGGCATGAGTGAAAATAAAATGTGACTGCATGAACTCTGCAAGTTGATCTTCAATCTGTAATCAGGCTAATTACAATCATAACATAAGTTTGTTTATGCTATAATTCCTAGGCAGAATGTCTCAGGAAAAAGAAGCACTTCCTAAAGTGGGCTTTGTGCTGGCACCCACTGGGATGTCCTATGGCACTTCATGGTTCTCACCTCCCCATTACACAGGTTGCCCAGAGAAGCTGTGGCTGCCCCAATCCTGGAAGTGTTCAAGGCCAGGTTGGATGGGGCTTGGAGCAACCTGGGATAGTGGAAGGTGTCCCTGCCCATGGTAGGGGGTTGGAACTGGATGAGCATTAAGATCCCTTTCAAGCCAAACTACTCCTTGATTCCATGATATCTCAGATGCAGTCATCTAAACAGCAACTGTCAGTCACTCTAGAGGAAGCAGAGCCCTTTCCCTACAGCTTTGATATCCTGACAATCATCCAAAATCACTATGGAAATACCACAGGAAATCATAGAATGATTGGTTAGTGCTGTGTTACCTTAAGGGACTCGGGAAAACTCCTCTTTAGCATTTTCTCCAGCATCTGCAGCTTCCTGGAGCAGTTGGGAACTCATAGAAAATATAAAGATTCACTCAAAAAAGAGATAATGTGAGGGAACTGAGTGGCATAATTGCTAATTTCATAAAGTACAGTATCTCCCACAAGTGCCTTGCTTCAGAATGTACCTATGTAAATCAAACAAACAAATTTCCAAAACCAAAAAGTGTCTGAGAAGCAAAAAACAAACAACAAACAAACAAACTTCACTTAAAATGTGCAAGAGAAGAATTCAAATCCTAAGGTTTCTCGGAGGTACCATAACCTTCATTCTTTCATCTCTTAGATGTGCACCATTTAATCTTAAAAGGATTTCCCTTTGCTGCAGTTTCTTATAAATATTAACATTCCTTAAGAATTACTGCAGCCATCAAGTATCCACCTTGCTACTAAGGAAGATTTTATGAACAGCCACCCCTCAGGATCACAGATTAGCAACCTCATCTCATGGAAGGTGTCCCTGCCCATGGCAGGAGGTTGGAACCAGTTGAGATTTAATGTCCTTTCCAACCCAAACTTTCCTATGATTCTATGATTGCACATAGGTATTTACCTTCCTTGAAGCTTATATTTCATTTTCTTACCATTTTCAATCGAATGCTTGATATTAACCCCTCCTGTCCTTTGCATTTGGACTGGATAACCTACAAACAAGGTGGAAGAGTCGATACAGAAGGAACATCGAAGTGTTACACGAGAGGACGTGCAGATGTTTTGCTTGAACATGAGAAAGGGTTGATACGGGATACAGATCAATCTTACTGATATATCTTCAGAAATCTGTAGCTTATAACTTACCTACTTGAAGCCAAGGCTTGTGAAATTGAAATTCCAGATGCTCCCAGGTCACGTCACACAAGTTCACAGCTCCACACAGACTGACCAACAGTGAACCTGCTCCTGGAGGGGCCTTCTAATCTCATCAAAACCACAATCTTACCATTCTGCACTGAATAAAGTGTATCCAACATCAAGCAAGTTGAGCTAAAACCACTTCCAAAATGTCTGGATTTATGTTCCTGGTTTATGTTGTTCTGTTTATGTGTGCATGAGAACCCCAAGATAACATCCTAAGAACAGTCAGCCTATCACAAATCAGCCAGTGTCAGGAAAATGATAAAATTAAAACAGGTAAATAAAAAAATTAACCTGTACCTATTTATCCCTGTAATGCAGAAGCTCCTTCTTCAATAACTGCTATTTCAGCTCTCCTTGTGTGGAAGTTGTAGCTGACTCCTACTCACTGCCCTTTTCCACACTTTCTTTTGAAAGTATTAAAAAAAAAGGAAAATGTACCCATGTGGTTCAGGCACTTCAAAACCCACAGAGGGATTTGCTCACAAGTAAAACACCCTTAATGAAACAAAGCAAAAATTAGGATGCTGGCATGCAGGAAAATCATTAACCCATGGTCTGGATTAAAGTACTTTTGGGTAAAGTCAGTAAATGCTCCCCTTGTCAAGTGATCAAAAATTTGAGAAATATTTCTAAATAATTATGCATTGGAAAAGAGATTTTGTTTTTATTTCATTTTCATCCTCTGAAGCCAAAAGGTATTTGACAGTTAATAAAATACCAGGGGAGTACACAACTGAGATCAGAGCTTTGCTCTATGATGTCCTCAGGTAGTTTCCCCAAGAACCTGGATAAATCAGATGAGGTTATTTTTAAGCAGTGAACATGAAAGTGTAAAAAAACCCTGTACATTTGATAAAAATTATTCAATTTTCTGCCATGGACAGGATTTTACAAAAAAAAAAAAAAAAAAAAAAAAAAAAAAAAAAAAAAAAAAAAAAAAAAAAAAAAAAAAAAAAAAAAAAAAAAAAAAAAAAAAAAAAAAAAAAAAAAAAAAAAAAAAAAAAAAAAAAAAAAAGAAAATTGAAGAGGGGATTTACAACTAAGTATTAGATAATCATATTTTTACTAGGTGTTTCAGGTTTAAAGAGGATTTAACCTGCCTTCAGTGGTCTACAGATGTAGATATAGAAGAGCAAATAGAATAGTTGCTTAATTCTATAAAAATTCTATTAAAATGCCCAAATAACCCAGGATCCATTTCCCTCCCTTCTCCTAAGACAGGATATATCAACAATAGAAGTTGTCACAAGTCAAAACCCAAAAAAATCCTTGATAGATGACATAAACCGCTTGAGTCCCAGAATCTATCTACAGATTTATACACCAATATTCACAGAAAATGTTTTAACAGAAATTCAGCAGTCACAACAGCAAAGCCATTAGAAAGAGAAGTTTCCATGCTCAGCATCTCTACATGAACACACAGTGCTGGTTGACATTATCTCCTTCAAAGGAGACTCCACACGTTTCATCTTCTCAAAGCAAGTCCACCTTCTCATAGGTCTTTTCAATGAGGGTTAACAAGTTCTTCAAGTCAGCTGACTGCTGAATAGTGTTCATATCCTTTAAAAGACCTTTCTGATTCTTTGTCTTCAAAATTTCTTCCTAAAGAAGGAAAGAATGATAGACAACAAATTAAAAAACAGCTTTTGTCAAGTGCAACAGGAATTCCCCTTTCATGCAGCCCAGCTATAGCCAAAATAAAATGAAGAAAAATTCAAAAAAACAAAGATTAAGTCTTCCCTCCAACAGTCATACATATATTTCAGGTATGATTATAGGTTCCCTAGGACCACAGGTTTTTCTAGGAAGAGACAAGTGATCCTTTAAATCAGAGAATGATTTAGGTTGGAAGAGAGCTTAAAGATTATCCAGTTCTAACCCCCCTGCCAATGACAGGGACACCTTTCACTAGACCAGGTTGCTCAGGTCCCATCCAACCTGGCCTTGAACACTTTCACAGATGGAGAGAGTTTCCAGGGTTTTGTTCTGTTTTTAAAACATAAGTATATAGTTCCCAATGAAAAGAAACAAGAAAAAAAAAAAAAGGAAAAAGAAAAACTATTCATTTTTTCTGAATTTTCAGAATTGCCTCTTCTGACAGAAGTTGTGATAAAAGCACATTCTGTTGCCTTCCTTCTCATAACCAAAGCGTTATACATCTATATATATGTAAACATATATGTGTAACAGTTATATATATGTATATAAATATATTATATATTCCACACTCACCTGCAAAGTGGGTGCCTGAAAACTGTGCTTGGGGAGTTCTGGAAGGTGGAGTGCTCCACTGCCATTTTCCTGGAATACCTAGTAAAGGAAAAGGAAAAAAATAATTCAAAAAAACCCCAAATATCAGTCTCCCAAGTAGTGAAATAACCTAGCTGTTATTATCCAACTTCTGAAAACTAAACTTTCCAAAAACGTTGGCAAAATTGAAAAGAATCATTCCCAAAAGCAAACAAGGCCTTCCTTAAATGACATTCCCTGAGAAGCAGCTTGTTTAGGAGAGCTCTGGAAGTTAACCCATTCCTATAGGTTAGAATACAGAACTACTTAGTGGAAATACCTTCCTGGCCTCTTTTTCATCTTCCTCTAACTGGTTCTTGAGCAGCTGGATTTTGCTCTGCAGTTGCTGCACAGTGTCCTCAATGTTCTCTGCTGATCGCTGAGCTTCAGTTAGTTCTTCCTAAAATAAAACAGACACAAAACCAGAATAAAATTTCCTTTAAAGATGGGGAGCCTTTTGTACAGAACCATCCATCCAGAGACACTGCTGTGCAGCAAAGGTGGGTGATGATGAGCAGTGGACACTCCTCCACAAGAGCACAGGCACAGTCAGCTCTCTCTCTACTAAAGGGCTACAACGCACTGAGCAGCAGGAGCTTGGTAAGGTAATTCCTTCCCTTCCTTGCCTTTCATACCTGCAGTTGTGCCAGAGATTCTTCATTTGCCTCAAGCATTTGTCTCTCTGCCATTTGAAGGCTTGGGATATTCTTCAGGCTGTCCAGCTTCCCTGGAGGCACTCTTAAAGTCTTGAAAACTCTCAGCACCCTTAAGTGTAGAAAAAGGAAAGTATGACTTGTTTGGAGTTCTTTGCAAAACTAGAAGTGCTTAATGACTTCTCTGGGGAAAAACTAAACTCAGTTTAGCCCAATTGCTGCCAGTGAAGTAAAAGGCTCCAGATAGGAAGAAAATCTGTCTTGAATTGTTTTCCAAAATCATGTAGAATAGATACCAACCTAAGGAAGGAACCAGGAACAAGAAATCCCACCATTCTCACCTTTGTTACCACACTGACCTTGTGTGGTTTCTATCCCATTGGCCTGCACATTCCCTGACCCTTCTGCTTTTTAAAGTAAAACTAAGTTCTAAAATCAGCATTTTAACTGCTTATAAACAATAATCATTTTAGTAAAGCCTGGAAGTGTTTTTATGAAGCATGATATATAGCTTATTGTCAGAGGGAGAGTTTAGCCTGCCCTCAAAGCATGGTGCAAAACAACTGGGTAAAAGAAATCTCTCCCTCTTTTCTTTTAATTTATAATTTCTTACCTTTTTTTCAATACATTGAGGTGCTTCTGAACATCATCTTTTTCTTTCCTCTGTTGGCACAAAACAGATCTGGAAAGAAAACAAAGGCAGAATTCCCATCACAAAGCCTGCAAGCACAGAGAACACATCACATGAAGTCCACACTGTCAGAACTTCTCCAGGTAAAAATTTCCAATTTCAGATAGAAAGTGTTGTGTTATGTTATACTGGAAAAAATACAGACAGCCAGACATATTGCCCAAAAAAAAACTCCAAAGCATTTTCAGTTCAAGCTATACTAAAATTTTTACATTAATCCTTGTGGAAACAAAGAAGAACCACCAGGATATTTGACACTTACAGTACTGCTGAATCCACTACAGTTTCCAGAAATTGTCTACTGCTCTCTGAGAGAGTCTGCCAAGATTCTATTGCAGCACTGGAAAGCTTCAGCTTTTTGGAAGAACCGTTTTCTCCTGTTAAAGCAAAGGAAGAAAAGGAAAATATATGATTTGTCAAACCTGGACAGACAGTTTTGTGACTCATTTCAGTCACAGGGGAGTCAAAGGTGTAACAGCTCAGATTTAAGAGGAAAGAACAAGATCCTACCTACAGGAGAATAGTCCCTCTGCTCCTTAACTGTCCTTTTTACTGTCTGAGTGATCTGCTGAAGAGAAAAATTTACAGCAAATGTGGCAATTTTGAAACATCCTCTGCTGTGCAATCATCTATCTACTACTATCAACCCACTGTGTTACTGTCTGACAGTGTCCTTTGACACTGACCGCTAAAAAACCACCTCTTTTGAATTGTGCAACAGTAATTCATGTCAAACAGGCTAAGGAAACAAAAATTCACTCTTCCCAATTCCTCCCATTCCAAGAACGAGATCATGAAATAAGTGCACAGGATGTTTGGCTGTTCAGCCACATCTCGAGGTCGTGCTGTTTGTAAGTTCAGTGGCTGGGCAAGAACGCTTGTTGAAGAATCGAGTCCTGAGACAAGCAGAGAATGTTTTCCAAAGGTGAATAAACTGAGCTGAATGAACCCTGACCCAATCACTCTGCTCAATCAGATGCTGTTCAGCAGCTCTTCACAACTGCACAGTCAGCTTGCCTTTTTGCTCGTGATCAGGCAACGCTTCCCTCTACTTGTGACAGGCACAGTAGCACCCAGCTAGGAATTCTGGAAACCAGGAAGCAGTCAAGGCTGCTCAAAAGAGCTGTTCACACTGG